CCAAAGTTTGTGCCTTGATTCAACCTGGGACTTAGTTCTGTGACCTCGATCAAATGACTTGCCCTTCCTACGCTTTGGTGGGACAAGAATAGAACTCCCTCAGGGCTTTCACCCAGCAACAAGCTCCTCAGGAGCAGATTCAGTTACTGCCAGCTTTCCCCCTCCTGAATGCTTTGGTCTGGAGTCCTCCCCAAAGTAGAACTTTCCAGATTGTAGTTTGTAGGATAAAAGGCGTCCACCAGCAGATAACCTTCTACCTGGGAATGGCAGGATGGATCTGCCCCAGTGTCTCTAGCCTAAACCACTCATCCTGTGTACCTCTGTGCTTTCTGCTAGGTCTGGGTCTTGCCTCCTGCCCCTCCTGCCCAGGACCACTCTGAGGTGCATGGAACTGTTGGTTAGTGCTCTCCCAGTATGGGCCTAGACAGTTGATCCTGATTCTTTTACCCCTTACACTTGCCAGGGTGGCCTTCTGCCTAGAGCCTGCACAGGCATCCAGGGACCATCATCAAACTGTAGTGGCTGGGGCTGTGAATGCCTGAAGCCCAACAGCCCCCAACAGGGGGATGTTCACAGAACATGCCTGGGCTCCCGGGGTCATCTGAAAGGTTCAGAGGAGGTGTGTGCCTGTGGGTTTGAGTTTTTGTGAAAGAGAATGAACTGTCCTCAGTGGGAAGAGGAAGCTCCTGTACTAGGTGTGTGTCATGGGTTCCGTCAGGGAGCCCTGGCTGACAGTGAGAGAGTGCTTGATGGGGCCTCTGGCTCCAGGGCCCATCGTCCAGTGATGGGCATATCTGTGGACAGCTGTTCTTGTGTAGTCATGATGTGGTTATTTTGTCTTATGAAGGAAGTGTTATTTTATTTTTTTCAGGAAAATTGTGGTGAACCTTGATATTTCCTGTGACCTACAAAGCATTGTTCAGAAGGCATCAAGGAGCACGTTCTTTGCCTTGAAAGAGCAGGAGTCTTGTCATTGTCACCATGTGAATTAGACACCAGCACTAAGTGCCCTTCAGAGGAATGAGGGCTTTTGGGGCTGGTGTGGGCCTGACTGTGCTCTGCACATGTCCCGCTGGCCTCCCAGGTCGAGGACACAGACTCATTCCTTCTTTCTACATTTATTGAGTGTTGATCAGGATCCCTGCCCTTTAGAGGCTGCTGCCTTCCCTTCCCAGGGAGGGAAGGCAGATGATGACCGTGGTAAAGAAAGATAGGAGGGGGTGGTAAGTGCTGTGGAGAAACACAAAGCAGGGGAGGAGTCCAGGAGAGGCTGGGAGGGTGTTGTTAATGTCGTAAGTAGGGTGATGAGGGGTGACAATGCAGCAGCAACATGGAAAGGAGAATGCCCTGTGCAGAGGCCCTGGGTAGCATCTGCTTGTGTGTTTAAGGAAGAATAGGAAGCCAGGTCATTGGAGGAGTTGGAGGGTGGGGACCAGATATGTAGGGCCTCAGAGACCATGGTAAAGACTTGACATTGGGAAGAATCACTTGGGCTGGTATGCGGAGGCTGGAAGGGGGCCAGTATGGGAGCAGTGAGCTATTGGGGCCACTGCAACTGTCCTGGGCTTGGAGGCCCTGTCCAGGGAACTGGTGGGAGCAGGGACAGTGCTGGGAGTCTCTATGGAATGCAGAGGTGGGACCAGCACGGATGTATACGGGATGAGTGAACAAGAGGGTCCAGGATGGCTCCAAGGCTTCAGCCTGAGCAACTAAGCACTGTAGCCATCAACTCAAACAGGAAGACTGGGAGAAGGTAATAGTGATTCTCCAATTCTATGAGTCAGGGGACTCACACTGTTTACCTGATTCTCCAGCTCTTGGGTAGAGGGAACATGAAGGGCTTCATGGAAACTCAGTGCCATAAATGCCCTAGGGCCTATGTGTCACTTGGATGCAGTTGCACCGTCTGCTATTGGACTGCCTGGAGCCTTCTGGTCTGCACGTCTGGCCCCTGCTTCCTGGTCTGCATTACTCTCATTCCCAGACCTGAGTTTATGTTTTTCCTGTAAGCCAAATCAGATTCTGCAGGGACCAGGTCAAGAAAGGACTTGCTGAGCTGACTGGGTGGGAGGTGGGGTGGGAAGATGGTGGGAACTCTCCCCATTGACTGAAAAAGGCCTTCAAGTGGTGGAGGCCTGTGCACTTGCTGTCTGGTGTGAGTGTGAGCAGGTTTTCGTGGCCTGACTGCAGTGTATGAAGCTGGCTCCTGCCAGGAGACGACTCTAGCAGTTAGGGAGGGTGGAGTGACCCCTGACACTGGGGACAGGCTGACTTCAGGAATTATGCTCTCTAGGGCTTGACCATTATACAGATGTCCAGGGCCCAGGGCCAGTCAGGACCTGGAGATGGAAGTTTTAATGCTGCCAGTATCAGTGTCTTTCCTTACAGGCCAGGTTGTCCTCTGGCAGGGACATCATGAGGTGGGCCATAGTGGTTAGTTACTAGGAGCACAAAGCTGGATGGGCCTGGGTTGCTGAACCCAATCCTTGCCTTCCCAGTTCTTTCTGGGTCAGGCATCAGGACAGGGCCAGCATCTGGTCCCTGGGAACCCTGCTCTACCATGTACCAGTTAACAATTTGTGGGGATTTGTTAGTTGACAGAGGGTTTTGCACTTCCCTTCAAATGTTTCTCCTGGGTGGGCCTGGAGAGTGGTTGAGCCCAAGGAGGGAGTGGGGGATGCTGCATATACCCAACCAGGAAGGTCATCTGCCAGGCATTGCAACATGCAGAAAGCCAAGAGTCTGAGCTTGGGGCCCATGGACTGGCTTCACTGATGGTTACTGAACAGAGGGAAAGTGAGCAATCGCAGACTCCCTGGCTCCCAGGCCGTAGACCCTCTGCTCCTGGGACCTTCTGTAAAGGAAGAGTGTGGCTGAGAAGCTCACTGTATTCTTAGCCTTGGGAATACACTGCAAGTGGCAGCCTGCAGCCTTGTGGCAGTTCACAGGCAGGTTGTTAAAGGTGCTTTGGTAGTGTGGTGGTGATGGGCCTGTGCTTTGGGGCTGGCAAGTGGTTCTTGGCACAGTTGGACAGGCCAGACCTTTTCCCACTGAGGATGCCAGGTGAGATCTGCTGGGAACTGATGGCCATTGGGAATCCTCTCTTGAACAACTCTGTCAGCATGTCCTAGGAGGGGAGATGCTCAGAGTATCCTGCTGCTGTCTTCACCTGGAGAGTCTATGCAAATTTTCCCCTCAGAATTACCTCTGTATTTTCATTCTGGGGCACTCCTAGATGGGCGCTGCCCCTCCCGGGTCATCCAGCACCACACTGATGGAGAAACTCTCCTCTATAGTCAGAAACTTCAGGTGACCCCCTTTGCCTGTGAGAGAAGACCCAGGTTGAGTGTGGTGATCTGTGCTCTGTACAGCTTCAGCCACACGTTCCAGATGCTCTGTCCCCACTCTTTAGAATACTTTCCCCACTCATTGCAATTCCTTACATTTATCCTCCTCTTTCTTTGAGGCTGTGTTTGAGGGTTTCCCGGCCTGCAAGTGTTTCCAGTCTAAAAAGTGGCTCCCTTATGGGACTAGGCAGGCCTGTAGAGGGAGCCAGAGCCCTGGTGGGATCAGGAGATCCTCAGGAGTGATTGTGAGAACTGCAGAACAAGATAGGGCTAAGATGTGATTACCACTGTAAGTTCAGGGATGCCTGCCCCCAGTGGGTTTTGAAGAATGAATAGGAGTTTGGAGAAGATTCCATAGGAACAAAAAGGCTCAGACACAAGCATGGAAGAGGTAAGCACAGGTGGTGTGTGGCCTTGGGGTCTGATGAGGCAAAGCTGTGACTGTGGGTGGAGCTTAGGCCCAGGACCTCAGTTACCCTACCTGCTGTGGTTCAGAGTGAATGAGGTTGTCATTCGGTGGTGTGCCTCCACACAGCCTGTTAGAGAACCTGGCTACAAGTGTGCTTCTCACGCTTACATTATGGTGGGGTGTGGTTTGGCTTGTGGAGCATGGGGGAGGTTGATATTTGGAGGTTTTAGCTGGGTGGCCTGCCCCACAGGCAAGAAGTACAGACCAGAGGAAAGAACTCAGTCCTTAGTAGTTGTTGGCATTTAAAGCCCCAGAAACCTCATAAATCATAAAGATCAGCTCCCTCATTGGACATGTTAGAAAGATGAAGGAGAGAAGAGTTGGGGATAGGTCTGGAGGTGGAGCCTGAGTTAACAATATCTCAGACTCATGATCTTTTTGAGGTAAGGAAACTGAGGCACGGGTAGGTTACTTAAACTTCCCAGGCTATCGGTGGCAGAGCTGGGATGTGAACATAGGTGACTGTCTCTGCAACTCCTTTCTGTAAGGAGACGTGGGGGCTGGCTGACTTGAGGTCGGCGCTGCTCTGTGAGGAGTGGCTGGCTGAGCGCTGACAGCCGCCTGCGTCTCAGGGAGGAAGCACTGCCACTTGTCAATCCGGTGGCTCGCTCTGGGCGCCGACACACGTGCACCATCCTTGCAAAGGTTTTTGTTCATTGCTTTTGGTAGGAATCTCCCAGCTCATGTGCTGCAAATGCTATTTTAAAATAAATAGCCCACATCATGCCAAGCTCTGAATCTCCTGTAGCATTTTACTACTGTGGAAAAAACAAGTTAGGAACAGAGCCTTGATAAATGCTTTTCATTTCCTGTGAGAGTGAATGAAACCTGAAATATTAATAGCTTTGGGTTTCCCATATCTTTCTCCAAGAGGGTTTGAAAAATATATCCCCCATGCACTTAGAGTGAAGTCCAGCTGCATACAAGCTCATGCCATTTATTATCCATGTTCTCTGTCCTTTGTGTATAAATATGAAGACTCCCTTGAAAACTTGGAGAGATTCATGATCAACTGCCTACCCTGGGCAACCTTGGGGAACCTTGGAGTTCCGATCCTATTTTGAGCTGCTTTTGAGGTTATGGGCCATTAGCTCTGTAATTTTAGTATATGACCCCTCTGTTTATGAATGAACAGTTTGCTTTTTCACTGGCTAATGCCCTGTTTGTGATCTTTTTCACTATAGTCTCCTGAATAATCTCCTGAATAAGTATTGCTGAATCTCGTGTGGAAGAACCACCACAAAAGCCCGGACTATCCTGTGGACCCAACGAAAATCATCTTGTTCCTGGAGATTCCCAGTGAGTAGGACACGTCTCCATCCCTGTCGCGCTTCGCTTGACGTGCCATTTGTGTAGGAGTCTCGGCTAATGTGCCAAGAGGGAGCTGCGAGAATAGTTAATACCTGTTGGCGTCCTCACCTTTCTCTGATGAAAGCTTAAGTGAACTATGCACATTTTTTTTCATCATTTTCTGTTTTTACAAATTTACATTTACAGTCATTGCTTGGTATGCATGGGGGCAGTTACCAAAATCTGAGGATGCTCAACATCTTATATAAAACGGCCTAGAATTTGTATAGAACCTACACATATCCTCCCCTATACGGATGACTCGTATGCCTAACACAATGTAAATGCTATGTAAATAGTTGTTATGCTGCATTGTTTAGGGAATAATGACAAGAACAGAGTATGTACATGTTAAGTACAGATGCCAGTCATCATAGGCTTAATTGCAAAGTATATGAAATAATCACAACATGATTAGCGCTTCAATAATAAGTGCTGTAAAGACTGAGATCTGTGAGATGGTGGAAAAGACACGGTAGCCTCCATATCACTTCATTCATTTTAATTCAGTGTGGTGCTTGGTGTGTGGCAAATTCAAGTTTTACTTTCGGAACTTTCTAGAATTAAAAAAAAATGTTCTTGATCTATGGTTGATTGAATCCATGCGTGTGGAATCTGCAGATACTGAGGGTTGAGTGTATTTTGAGAAGAAGGACAAGAAGGAGAACAGGCACTCCTCAAGGACAAATGGCCAGACAGTGGACCTCACATTTCCTATGCCCCTGACAATCGTACCTCAGAAATCCTGTCCATGGGAGCCACCAGTTTGGGTGCTCTCTCTTCCTGTCTGGGTGCTTATGTGGCTCAGGGCATCCAGGTGATCAGTTCCCTCTGGGAGCCCAGGAAGTTGAAGCCAGCAGGAGGTAGGAAGGTTCTCCCTGCCCCACATGGTAGTACTTAAAAAGGTACCTTCTCTTGGCCATTCAGCACTGACCCAGTGGCCAGTCCAAGGGACTGTTGGTGTAGACAGGGACTTCCTTTTTTTTAAAATATATTTCTTAGACTTTCTGGACCTTTATTTTATTCATTTATTTGTATGTGGTGCTGAGAATCGAACCCAGGGCCTCACACATGCTAGGCAAATGCTGTTACCACTAAGCCACCACCCCAGCCCCTAGACAGGGACTTCTTTAGTGACAGCAGGCAGGACGGCTGGAAACATTGGAGGTTTCTGCTGAAAAGTCCTAAAAGTGGATTGTTTAGGGTATTTTGAGCGATGTCTGAGGCACCTGGACCAAAGTCAGGTGCAAAAGTGTGTCACCTTTGGGATGTCACCTGCTGGAGAATGACAATAACCAGGCCTGTGTGTTTCCTGGGGCAGCCATAACAAAGTACCATTGAATTGGTAGTTTATGTAATAGAAATTTATTGTTTCTTAGTTCTGGAGGCTAGACGACAGAGAGCAAGGTTAACAGTGTCGTTCCTTTTGAGTGCCGGGTAGGAAAGATGTATTCTGTGCCTCTCTTTTAGCTTTTTATGGTTTGCCAGCAGTCTGTGGTAGCATAATTTTAATATTTACATGGCCTTCTCCCTGTGTCCTTATCTCCATATCTGAATTTTCCTTTTATTTCATAAGGGAATATTAAATTAGGGCCCACTCAACTGACCTCAATTTAACTTGATCTTCTGCAAAGACCTTATTTCCATACAGGGCCACAAGTACAGGTACTCAGGGTTAAAACGTCAGCATTATTTTGGGAGGAGGCATAATTTAACCCACAACATGTCCTCTTCTAGGGGCAGGGTCCATTCTCAAGCTGTCTGTGGGATGTGGTCTTTAGAGTAGCTCGACCCCTCCTGCTGAGGGGAGAGATCATCAACAGCCTAGAAATAGGCCTGCATGGTCCTCTTCCTGCTGGCATATCTATGTGCTGTACACAGCAGGGCCCACGCTCTGTCCCTTGGTTGATGATCAGATCTAAGTTCCAGCCTCTTGTGCCAATACAGGCCCCTGTTTGGCTCCCACACTGCCTTCCACTGACAATCTTGCTACACCAGCCTCCCCACAGTTCCTGACCCTAACCCAGACCTCTTCCTGCTGTGGTGGCTCAATGCCAAGCCCACTTCCTGACTTCTTTCAGGAAACATCCTGGCTGCCCCGCCTGGTCTGCTCCTGACATTGCACTGCAGCGTCTTCCAGGACAGCCATGCACCTGGTAGTGACTCCCCAGTCGACCGTGGACTAGAGATGTGACAGTGGTTCCATAAGATTATAGTGGAGCTGAAAAATTCCTTTTGCTTAGTGACATCATAGCTCTCATGACATCAGAGTGCAATGCAGAAGTCACATATATCTGTGGTGATGCTAGAGTGAACAAACCTGCTGTACTGCCATTTATATAAAAGTATAGCACATACACTGATGCACAGTACAGGGAAATTTGATATTGATTAGTGCTGTAGTTTGGATCTAGACTGTCCTCCAAATGCCCATGTGTTAAAGGATTTTTCCTCACAGTGGCGCTCAGGAGGTTGTAGAACTTTAAGAGACCCAGGGCTTACTGGGAGGTCTTTGGTCTTTAGGGGTGTGCCCTGGAAGAGGATCATGACACTCTAGTCCCTTCCTCTTCTTCTCTCTTCTGTGAATCCTGGCAATGAGATGAGCAGCTTTGCTCCACCACGTGCTCTCAGTTGTGATGTGCTGCCTTGTTACGGTCCAAAAGAAATGGGGCCAATCATCTATGGACTGAAACCTCCAAACTCTGAGGCAAATCAACTTTTTCTCTTTGTAAGTTTATTATCTCAGGTATTTTCTTACAGTAATGGAAAGCTAACTAACACAATAAATGAATATGTGACTGCTTTATGTTTTTACTATATTATACTTTTAATCCTTATTTTAGAATGTACTCCTTTCATTTATTAAAAAAAATACCAGTTTACCATAAACGAGTATGCTGCTTTATGCTGGCAGCAATTTTGTATATCTCATGTTTACCCTATCGCTTGATTACATCATCTTTCTTATGTATGACTGAATTTTTTATTTGTTTGCTCATCATGGCCCTAGAACAATAGGCTAGACCTTTATATATATACACATCACGTAACCTAGGAGTATAGCAGGCTATAGCATCAAGGTTTGTGTAAGTACATTCTGTGATGTTTGCATAGCAATCACCTAATTTTGCAGTTCTCAGAATGTATATTCATTGTTAAGCATCTAGAGTATTTGTTGAGACTTTAAAAGTAGTGATATCACCATTTATTGCACCTGAACCATGCATGGTGCTGAGGGCTACTGTCACCACCAAAGGCCCAGGAGAAAACTGATGTTGTTGCCCACAGTCATGAGTGATGGAGCCAGAATCCAAACCCTTGTCCTATCCTTCCAAAGCTTCAACCATGCCTCTGTCACTGCACCAGGCCCTGACCTTGGAAAGACCAAGGCAGCTAGGACTGGCCTATGTGTAGAGTTACTTACATAGCCTTCTAGGCCAGGTCACTGCTTGCTGTGATATGACATGTACCAACCACCCTGGGCCCCCTTCATGGCCAATGTCTCCATTTACTTTTTCAAAATTTATTTTTATTTTATCAGTAAAATACATGTACATATCTTAAAGGTTTATTAAAAAATGGCACTTTCTTTATGCATCCCCTCCCCCATCCCACTCTCTATATGCCACCACTTCCAGCTGTTTCTTCTGGGAATTATCTCCATAGTCGTAAAAAATATGTAGTAGTACTGATCTCTCTCTCTCTCTCTCTCTCTCTCTCTCTCTCTCTCTCTCTCTCTCTCTGTGTGTGTGTGTATGTATGTATTAGAGATTGAACCCAGGGCCTAGCACATGCTAATTAAGCACTCTACCACTGTGCTATATCCCTGGTCCTGATATTTCTTTATTACCTATTGTGGTAAAGTTGATTCTAACATGCAAATCCTCCTTCCATCCAACAAATACAATTTTATCATCATTTTGGGTTAAACTCTTATATAGGGTCTATTACCCATCATGCCACAGTAATAAACATCCCCCAAATCTGAAATATAGGCATATCTGTTTTATTTGCTTCATTGTGTTGTGTTTGCATTTTTTTTAAACAAATTTAGAGTTTGAGGTAACCCAGCATTAAACAATCTGTGAGTGCTATTTTCCAACAGCTCAGATGAGTGTTGACATTTTTCACTGTTATTTTCTAACTAGGTGTGTATATTGGATTTTTTTAGACAGAGTATTGTTGTACACTTAATAGACACAGCACAGTGTGATCATAACTTTTATATCTGCACCAGGAAATCAAGATATTCTTGCAACTCAATTTATTTTGATATTCACTTTATTGCAGTGGTCTGGAACTGAACTGTATCTCTGAGGTATGTCCATAGTTCACTTTCTTAAGAGGCCACGGCCTCCTGTTCTGGGGACAGGGAATGGCCTGTGGGCCGGTCAGTGAGGGAGTAATAGTGGGGCTGTGGGGCCTCAGCACTTAGCAAGCAGATTCTTTGCTGTGTCCCTGTGTTCGGTGTCTTCTGTGCTGCTGTCACCTTGTCTGTTTGCCGTTTTCCCAGAGTACGTCCCTCCCCTCCTCTGAGTGGCCAGGGGCTGGCTGCTCCCTGTTCATAGTGTTCTTTAGCCCCTTTTTGTGCTTTGGTTTTTAAACTTCATCCCCTTTCTATGCTTTGGTCTTTTGGGGTTGGGAGGTAGAGGGTGAACGGGGGCTGGAAGGGGCTGCTTCTCTTCACCCCACCTCTGGAGCTCTTTATCCCTGCACCTCCTTTAGCACCCTGTCTGGTGTGGCTTGTAGACTCAGATTTTAGGTGCTTCTTGTGCTCCTGTTTTTGAGTGACTTCAAGAGAAGCTGCAAAAAGGCTGGAACCCTCCCTTCCTAAAACTGGAAGTCAGCCTGGTCACCTTCAGTCTGGTCACTTCAGCCTACTCCAGTCCCTCTGTGCTGATACAGCTCCCAGTGTTGGCAGATCCAATAGACAACCTCTGTCCTCATCC